CTGAGAAGCATCTGATCCAACTTTAAGTTCTTCCAAACATATCACGCACTCATCACCTTTCACGATTCTTTTCTTGATATTTTCTCTACCTTTTTGATCAAACTTTCCAGCTTCAACTCGAACCCTTTTCAGCATCTTCTTGACCGATGAATCCTTCGCTGGAACCATGTTATAGTTGCCTGTTTCAAACTCAGACGTCGATTCTTCCAACGCTCTTTCTATCTCTTCCTCATACTCTTCGTCCTGGTTCACGTGTTGCACAAGTGTTCCCGATAAGTCTACATACAAAGGCAAGACTTTACTCCCATGTCGGACATCGAGCTTCCGATTCTGTGTCCATATTGAATGATATCATCGATGACAGCATTGAATGTAGGAGACCTGGGGTTGACTCCGAGGCTTCTCAACATGGGAGCAAGAATCTGGTAAGCTAGGTCATGGTTTTTCAAATCACGGAGATCAAAACGAAGAGTTTCTTGCAAAGGTTCTGTATCTTCAAGGTAGGTGAATTGATCGATTAAGCAATAATGAAGGCTGACCTCGAGTTGGACGGAACGTGGAGTGGGGCAACGGGGTTCTGGTTCAATCAGAGGTTGGTAAACGATGTAATGAAGGTCATCGCACTGGTAAGTATTGGAAGCCATTGGAGGAAAGTTTCGAAGGGAAAAGGCTTCTTTGGAGGATCACAATGGAAACTGGAAATATCAGTCCAAGTTATATTTATGGGGGCCAATGGCGGCGATCGCTTAGCGGTGAAATCCTCTATGTGCTAGGGGAGGTAAATCCTACCTGCAAGTGACAGGAGCAGAAAATTGTTTCTATTTTTATTTTCATAAAATTATATCAAAACTATTGTAAGTTTTAACACAAAAATAAAATTTAAATGCAAACAAAAAAAATCTTATCATCACTTTGTCTAGTAATTTTAATAATTTTTATTTACAATTTTGTTATTACACATTAAAAAAATGGAACATGAAAAAAATAAAATAAAATTATATTAGATTTGGGATTTAAGAAAAATAACTAATGAATTAAAAAAAATCAAAATTTTGGGCTTTAAGATCCATCTCTATCTAATATGTTTTGGTAATAAAAACAAATTATATTTTATGAGAATTATTATGTTGTAGATATTTTATAATATCGGTAAGGGGATAAGTTTTATATATATATATATATATATATATATATATATATGTAAATTGAAAAGAAAAAAAAAACAGAACAAAAATAAATCAAGTAAAGAAAATTCAAACCCAATTCTTTTTCATCATCTCTATACTTTGTCTACAAATCTAATGACACCTATATATTATTACACATTTTCTTCATTTTTTTATATCCTTAACAGCATTATTTTTCTTTTATATATAATTATTTTTTTATATCATCAAATTTTAGTATTCAATTTTTCATTTTAAAATAGTATTTATTGAAACAATGTAACATTAATACATTATATTATATAAATATACAAACAACCAACGCAGGTAAAAAGAGAGATTTATTCTTCACTTGATCTCAAACTATAATCTTTAAACATGTTTCCCCATTGAGATACAAGAAATTAAGCCTCTCTACTATATTAACTACAATTGGTTCAAACAGACCAGGAACTTCTCACAGTTGGTTCAAATAGCCCAGGGCAATGCCCAAACAGCTAAAGCATCATCAAAGTAACAGGTTAATGTGCTGAGCGAGTGGTGGAGGTCTTCTTAAAATCAATTTTGTCAACCTTAACTTCACCATCAATTAGTTCATAGACGTATACCACAACGCGCAGGCCATCGATGTCCATGAGCACAAAGCTTGGGTTTACATCATACGTGAAACTACTATATGCACCAGTGGCCGAGCCAGGGTTTATGACGACACCACCCTCATGCTTGTATGCTTTGAACTGATGGGTGTGACCAGTTACAAGGATATCGACGTCCAATTGCCTTTGAAGCATTGCTAGTGAATCCAAATCCCCCCAAGGAATGACCTGTTGAAAGTTAAAAGGAAAACAAAAAGAAAAAAGTATTAATTATTACTAACTTCTGTATGATCAAATGAAGCTCTGTTAACAATAAGATGGACAGACCGACAGAAGCTAGTCATTAAACGAATTCAGGATAATCTCCTATGGTCAACTGAGAAGGCTGCCTAGCATAAAGCTTTTTCCTTTTTCGCTCTTGGACAGGGAGCTCATCCACTCACAGGGAGACTGAGAGCAGTGGGCGGAAATCTGCTATCTAATACTGGAGAGGGTATCTAAAACTAGCTAGGAAAAGTTCCCACATCTCATATTGCCCATGGAACACCTGGATCCTACATTCTCTCTGCAGAGAAAGGACCTAGCAGTCTGTTAAACATGTACACTAGACGTTATAAAACAAAGTTCAGACAAGTCAAGGACACAGTAAAATAGCTTCACACACACTCTAAGGTGCCCCGTCAATCCCAAACATTATTCTTGCATCCAACATGAAATGACATCAACAAGGGAACGTTGGAAAGCTCTTCACATTTTTCATTGCGTTATCACTCTCTGATTAAACAAATGCTCAAGTGGATATAATTTTGTTGTCCACTTGAACAATACAAATTTAAGAAATTCAATATGTTTGTAAATGTAAAAAACTTGGGAACCAAATCTATTCTGTACTGCCACTACACAAACAGGAAATTAGGATCTAAATTCATCATATATTTCAACATTGAAAACCTAAACAATAACATTCAAATGTAGGGTTGGATCAAACAAAACATAAAAGAACACCGACATGAGGAAGATAAAACCTGGTGACCATGGCATATTCCAAGCTTGAACTGACCAATTGTCAGTGTTTTGTTCTCTGGATAACGGGAATCTTCATCACATTCACCTCGAGTAACATGCAAATCAGGACAAAGACTCTTGAAGTAATCATGAACTTCCTGCTCATAAAAAGCATGCACAAGAGCAACTTTACTTACAATCTCAGGCACTTGCAAGAAAGGAAATACAAGAAAAGTGTCAGAAACAATTCAACAATGCTACAGCGAAAATATCTTGTTGTATCGAAATTTTGAGATTTGATAGTTAAATGGAAGTTTCATCCTGAAAGCAGGCAAAATAAAAGGAAAAATCATCAACCCTCATGCAAAAGTGTTAAACTCAGGCCACAAAATGAAAACATCTAAACTAGAGCTACTGAAATTATTTCTGGTAGACTTAATGAAATTGCACTAGTTGTTATGAAATTGATAAACAATCTACTTCCACTACTTAAAATTTCTAAGAGAATAAGTTTCCAGCACAAAAACGAAGTATACTAGGTGCTTCGTACATTAGTGCCTTCTCAGTTCTGTAATTAAACACGGATACTAGGTCTGGTGCTCTTAATAAGAAATTCATTACTTACTACATAAGACAAACTATGGCTAAACTCATTAGCTACAATCTGCACAAATGCACAGAATGACAACTGATGATACACATCAGATAATTACAGCAGCTGATCTTCATTGTGTCACCACCCTATTTCATCATCCAGCCTCAACATGGACATCACTTGGTACTCACTCGCAAGGGAAAGCATATAAAACCAAAAACAGAAAACCAAAGGAAACTCAAGATAGCATAGATGTTCTTTCTAGAAACTTTTGTAATACCGCCGATAATTCAATGAAGCCCAACAGCATAAACAGGAATAAAAATCTTTTCAAAAATAAATATAATTAGATGGTAATAAAAGGAATTCTAAACATTTAACATCATGGCCAGAAAACAAGAAGAAAGACTCAAGTAAAAAGTGGTAAGGTTACTTTGATACAGAGATTGCCAGTGCAAATGATGTGCTGAATCTTGCCAGGAACAAGCATGGACTTGAACTTTGGAGGCAGATCAGGTGCCCTGTGAGGAATATGAAGGTCCCCTATTGCTAACACCAACACCATCCTTCTACAACCAACCCAGTCAACAGCTTTCCTCAATTCTACACTGAAAAGAGAAGGAAAAAAAAGTCTTTCTTTCTCTCTCAATACTCAACCATCCTCAAAACCTGCAGAAACCCAGATCATTTCTCAGCAATTCATTGATGAAACAAGACTGCCCACATCAAAAAAACAACTTGAAATTTCACATCGAAATGATCAGCTTTTAAACCAGAAAGATTCTTAAAGGGGAAAAATAACAGTCCAACAAACTACAAAACAACGAACAGGAATCAAGTATCAATTATGAGAAGAAATTCTGAAGGAAGGATCGTTAATTACCCTTTAAATGAAAGAAAAAAGCGATCTTTAGCAAATAGCCAGGCCTAAGTGAAAAAGAAAACCCAGACTGATTCCTTCTAGCCCGTCGCGCCAAGTCGATGCTGTTAAAACTGAAAACCGGAAATATTTATGGATTTTTCTTTCTGTTTAAAACTTTTTCCTTATTAGCACAACTTTCCCAAAGTGGGTGTTTGGAACTTTAGATAGTGGGCTGGGCTGCTCTTATCCCGATCTATGATAATGTCTCCATTTCCCACTCCTTTTAGTCAAGGGAAATGCATTAGCACAAATGCAAATATGAAGACCCTTCTTTTTTTTTTTTTGCTGCAACAAATTTCTACATCTGGAAGAAAAATGGATAAGTTCTTCATTGAATTCCCTTATAAAGAAATAAAAAAACAAATATTTAATTTGATAATGATGTGAATTTGATCTAACAACTCATTTTTTGTTCTTTTCTTTTTGATCACGCATTGGTTTTTATCTAGTTTTGGATAGATGTGATCCCTCATTCCAAAGCTTTGAAATTACCGCTAAAGCTGTTTTGTTCTTCTGATTGAAACTTGTACTATTCTAAACAATGTTCATAGGTTGTTTCATCAGACCAGCTTTAACTAGGTACTAAGATTACCATGTCTGCTAATACCCATTGTTCATTACAAGAGCATTGGTACAGATTCCATGGTTCCAATGCCTTTCATCAACCAAGGCTTCTTCTAAGTTCAATCTTCATCAGTTGGGGTTGATAATGGGAAATTGCCTCAGGAAGAAAACTCAGGACCTCAACTATCCGCAGCCTAAACCAGCTCATCCACCAACTGGTTTTGTCTCTCGTTTTTCTTTTGTCCGTAAAAAATTTTCGATTGGAAAATATTGTAGGCTTGAAGAAGTTTTTTTTTCTTTTTTGCAAATTTGAAATATTAGTTCTCTGTTTTCATCTCTTTCAAGGAGTTGATGCCATCCATATTTCTGGTGCCAAGAAGATCTCTACATCATCAGTTCAACAACGGACTTCGTCTGGTTTATGCAATTTCTAATCTGTCATTGCGTCTTTCTTCTTCTTTTAGAGCTGTTTTTAACCATGAACGATCCGTTCATATTGTTTTTCATTCCTGATGCAGCAAAACCTAGTAAAGATGAACAATGTGGTGCAACACTCCAAGATAGAAGCAGGCATGTTTCTTCATATTCATGTAAAGGTATAAACTTTTGAATTCCCCGTTACTATAATGTAATATGAGTTTCTTATCTATTGCAATCATTGAGATTTAATTTCATGCTCAAATATAAAAATAATTAAAAAATTAAAAATATAACTCAATAAAATAATAAATTAGTATTTAATTAAAGAAACAGTTAAATTTTATAAGATTAATATTTTTATTTTTTCTGTGATTTTCAAATTAGTTATAAACACTTACGAGTTTAAGAATCACATATCTTATCGTAATTAAGAATTAATTAAATCAAATTTTTGCTTCTTCGCCTTTATGATTTATCAAATTTTCAATCACCTAAGTGTTTGGCTTCTAATCGTAATCCACACAATGAATAAATAAGAACTTCTTAAAAGTAGAATTTTTTACTTGTATTAGTAAGTTTTATTTCTAAAACAAAAAGGTAAAAGTTCTTACCAAATTTTATTTTGTCAGACAAAGAAAATTATTTTTCTTTTCTTATTTTATGAAATGACTTAGAAATAGTTAGAGACTCAGAGTTTTAGTTTGTTAATATAACATATTTATATATCCAAACTAATTAAGTCCTTATGAACTTAATTAATTTTTTACTTTATTTTAATCTATTTCAATTAAGTCCAATGTGTGTGACCCCAGCTTCTAACATACTGGCAATAAATATAAATTTTAATTAAATATCAATTTGATAATTAGTTTATATTTATAGATCATAAGCGGCATCTAGCAAGACATCATGGTTATCCAAATATTAGAGAGACAATTAAAGAATTTGACAAAGTCTGTTAGTAATAAGCATCTCAATGCAATACAATTCTTTCATCTAATATTTCGGATATGTCATTAAGTATAGTTCGATGTTTACTTATGACATTTTATATTAATTCTCATAATTCATGACTAACCTTATGAATTTAGGAAATTAACTTTTTTCAAATTCAGCATGCTTTGACCAAAGATCTTATATAAGTTAATCAAGAATTGAGAACAAGTGAGATACATGTCCCCATATTACTTGGGTGATGAATCTTCTTTTGACCACTCATTTACCTTCACATACTCCATGACATACCCAAAAGTATTTTGTTTATGCATTTGATCGCCTCTAAACCTATAAGGGTGAAATTAAAATATGTTATACCCCATACAAGATGACTTGATTTCTCAAATCTGAAAACTAGTTGTATGACTATTACATGAAAACATATTTTATAAACACTTGAGTGAAATACCAAATAGAGTTCTCATAATAGGTCATGTTCAGCGAACTTGTTCTTTAATAAGCACTCATATATTATCTTCAAGTGTCTCATATATTTCAATTTATAAGATCAATTGCTTACTTCTCAAGTAAGAAGGCTTAATATGTGTTAGTCTTTGAGCATTATCAATATCATGTCTTAACAATACAATGACAAGGAATAATTTTGAGGACATTACTTTTATGCATAGTGATCTCATAATTATAACAACTTTATGTTTTATGGATTTCATCGAATTAGTACTTAATAACTCTTGATTATTGAATTAACATGAAGAAAAACATTTATCACATAATTATATGATTAAATATGTATTGAATGACAATATATATTCCTTGACCAATTCAATTGGCTCAAGGAGATATAACAACAGCAACATGCTCCATTTCCTTTGTAAAAGTGCAAAGGAGGAATAAAAAGCAGGGTTTTCCAACAAATCCGAGAGACTGGCCAGTTTCAAAGGTGAAAAAGGTCGGATGGGTTCCTGCCCGAAACATCAACAGCTTTTGTTACAGTGTCTTGAGGGCTGCCACCCAGAAATTCAGTGAGGAGAATTTAATTGGAGAAGGTGGTTTTGGAGGTGTGTATTTAGGGTACATAAATATAAGCAGCATGGATGCAGCAAAGCCAAACACTGGCAGGGCAGTTGCTATCAAGAAGCTTGGAAGAAGAGGGGTGCAGGGCGATGAACAATGGAAGGTCTTGTTCTGATCAAATTTGTCTCACTTCCTCTCTTTTCTCTGCAATCTGAGAACTATATTTTTGTTGAGAGCGCAGAATGAACTGAGATTTTTGAGCACATTCAATCATCCAAACGTCGTGACGCTCGTGGGGTATTGCTACAAGAGAGATAACAGACTTTTGGTTTATGAGTACATGTGCAAGGGAAGCTTGGATGCCCATCTCTCAAGCGGTAAAGCACAACACTGTAATTCCTCCGCCACAGACAAATAATAATGTAACTAACATGAACAAGCTGTGATGACATTCAGAAAATGATACAGAGCTAAACTGGAGTAGAAGAATCAAGATAGCTGTTGGAGCAGCAAGGGCAGTAGATTACCTTCACACTCGTGCCAAACCAGTCATTCACCGTGACCTCAAAGCTTCCAATATCCTTCTTGATGCTGTAAGTTTCTACCATGATTCTGATTTCCTATGCTTCTGATATTTACACATGCACTAATTAGCATTTTATCCTCAAACCGTTGCATGGATCCTCACTGCACAAAGTATTCATTTTTGTAAATATGAAAAGCTATGAGGGTCGCACTGCAGGATTTCAATCCCAAACTGTCAGATTTTGGACTGGCTAGGTTCGGACCCCTCGACGACCAATCATACGTTAGCACAAGGATCCTTGGCACGAGAGGATACTTCGCCCCTGAATACTTTAAAACAGGTACGTTTCTCAGCTTACCATCCTAAAGGCAGAGAGAGTTTCATATTGAGCTAAATTTTATGCACTTCACAGGGCATTTGACGGTAAAAACTGACGTATACAGTTTTGGGGTTGTGCTTCTGGAAATACTGTCTGGCTGTGTTGCAGTCAAGAAATATGCTGACGGCACTACCAGGGATCTGCCTGTGTGGGCTAAACCACATCTAAGCAACCAAATGGAACTGCGTAACATCATCGACAAGAGAATAGCAAGGAACATCGAGATGGACGAAGCTCATAAATTTGCCACAATCAGCCGGCAATGCCTTAGCTCAGACCCCAAGGACCGACCCACAATGTCAGAAGTACTTGCAGATTTAGAACAATTGCAGCGAAACATGTTGTTAAGCAATTTGAACTCAATTGGATTATCCAAGTACCATAGATGTAGACGGGCACTCATCTTTTAACAAAGTTACCAAGTTGTTAAGCAGATGCCTTATGTAATTTTCCTTTTCGGTCAAATTGCTGAGCTACCAAAGCCATCCTTAAAAACTTCATTTCTTAATCTGGATAGCAAGTTTTGCAATTTCTTAAGAGTAATCTTCTTCGTTATTGAAAAATTTGTTTCATGACGATGGCCCAACTCATGTTACATGAAAGCTAACCACTAAGCAAATTCATATTCTATAATATGACTGATATGCATTTGCAACAAATTTCATATACACATACAGATAAGGACCAGAATTCATGGAATGGAAGAAGGTTAAGATTAATATGCCGATACAATAATGAAAGAAGCTGACTACCACAATGAGAAACTCCAATCCTCACCAAACAAAAGGAGGTGGTGTTATATGAAATGCAAAAATTGCATCAAAAAAGCAAGCTCAAAATTACATTTTTATCAGCAACAAAAAAGATATACATACACATAGGAAATTTACAGATGGAATCAATATACTCGTGGAGATTGCCTATGAGCCAGTAATGGAGATGCACTGGGTGTAAGATTCATAGGAGAACGATGATGCCTCATTGGAGATTTCCGAACAGGAAGTGGAACTGGCTGCTGTTCTGAATGAGGGTGCTTGGATGCATTTTTAGGGGCTTCAAGCTGCTCCAGTGCTGCCAAAACTTCTGACATTCGAGGCCTGAGTTTAGCTTCACTACTTAGACACTGTAAAGCAAGGGTAGCAGCTGTATAAGCACCTTTCTGGGGATACTGCCCCCCCAACTTAGTGTCCATAATTCGAAATAATTTTCTCTTGTCACCCAAATATGGTTTTGCCCAGTCTACTAGATTCTGCTCCACACCAACTTTTGTTTTATCAACAGCACGTCGTCCAGACAATAGTTCAAGCAGCACAACTCCAAAGCTGTATACATCACTCTTAGCAGTCAATCGACCTGTTCAACAATCAAAGCTTCATTATATGTAATTTCTGACAATTTAAATACGGAAGCTTCATTTAGTGGAGTACCATCTCACAGACAACATATTGTATCTTAGTGCCTACTATTCGCAGGACAAACAGTTCGCATATAAAAGATAGAACCCAGAAAAAAGTTGCTTTGACTTGACTAAGCATCATATTTTTGGACCCAAGGCACTGCATATAAAAGACAGAACCAGATAAAAAGTGGCCTCACTTTAGATACCTTCATGGCAATTGGAAAAATTATTAGATGATTAGAAGGACCCACTATCTGACTCCTAACTTTTGTTATCTGGTACATCTTTTCCCCACCACTAGAGATGAAATATTGAAAGAAAGAGTCAAGTAAGAAAGTTATCAGAAGTAGCTGCAGATAAAAGCATATGAACTTTCAGGTTCAACCATGATAAGTTTCCTTCTCAGTCATTTTGAACCTTTCTTATCTTAAACAACTATGTAAAGCAAGCACCTTCTCAGATTTATGATAAGATAAACTTTGTTGAGCAACAAATATCTCCAATAACAAATTAAGATAACTAAGAACATATGAGCAAGCTTCAAAAACAGCAAGCATTAATATGGGAATTTCACTAAATCTCATACCTGTAGCAACATATTCAGGTGCTGCATAGCCATGAGTACCCATGACCTGAGTCGACACATGAGTCCTATCACCAGTAGGCCCTGCCTTGGCCAATCCAAAATCAGAAAGTTTAGCATTGAATTCCTGCATCCAATGGATTATTAGCATCGGTAACATATACAAAATCTATAATACATATAAATTAGACATATTACTGAAAGGCACAAAAGTATTCCTTTTCTTTACTCAGCATACCGCATCTAGTAGAATATTAGAAGCTTTGAAATCGCGATATATGACTTGGGATTTTAAATCATGAAGGAAAGAAAGCCCTCTAGCAGCACCTACGGCAACCTTAAGCCTTACTGCCCAAGAAAGTGGCTGTGGCCCTCCTGTGAAACAAGACATAGCATCAAAGGTTACAGAATACTCAAGTAGTTCCACAATATGCAGATCTTCTATTGTTGGGTCGTTTTCCACAATATGGAGGCTTCCCTTTTTATGTTTCGACACAACTATTTGATTGTAAAAATAAATTTCCAGAGAGTAACTACATATAATACAATGGAATTGGATTCCAAAAACCTTATCAATTAATGGGTCAAAATACTTTAAAAAAGATGATTCTCTGAAAAAATTCATCGGATGTGATACTTACTTCTAAAAAGATGATTCTCTAAGCTTCCTTTAGGCATGAACTCATAGACCAAAAGTCGGTTCTCACCCTCCAAGCAATATCCAATCAACTTAACCAGATTTTGATGATGAAGTTGGCCAAGATAATCAACTTCCGTCTGAAATCAACTGGCTATCAGTTAATATTGCCCCAAAAAAAAGATCAAGGAAAAGCAAAAGAATAAATAAATAGATGAAGATGTTATAGAAACAAAACCTACCAACCACTCTTTGTGGCCTTGAAACCCTTCAGGTTTAAGCTTCTTGACAGCAACAACCATTCCTGATCCTGGCTTTGCAGCAGAGAAGGTGTGTTCATCAATCCATCCTTTAAAAACATAACCAAAACCACCTTCACCAAGAAGACTGTCAGGACGAAAGTTTCTGGTGGCATTCTTCAACTCGTTGAGGGAGAAAGGTTTCAAATTGGGGGATGACAATATTTCTCCTTCAGTCCTTGGTGTAGGAAGACATCCAGAACTGCTTGTATCACTGAAAGACGGGATTGTCAGGTTTGAAGGAGCTGAAGAACGACTGGTTTTGCTGGAAATTCTTGAGCCACCTGATGCTGGGAAGAGAAAAACAAGTTCCCGAGTTCTGGTTATTAAATGGAGAACAGAGTGCTGTATGCATTTTCATATATGGAACATGTAGTATGGCAAAGCACATTATTTTATTTCCATATGGAACTTTGCCTATTTTTTAGAAGCAACCTTCTTTTCCATCTAGCTTAATATAGATCATCAAATATCATTGGGGGCTTAGATATTAATTTGTTGATCCTCACTACATGGTGATGGTGAATTCACAATAGACCTGGTTAACCAAACAATTTTATTTCAATAGAGGTTTGCCACATAGACATCCCTGATTTAAAACCCTGCAACAATCATTAGGCAAAAAATTCACAGATTATGCATAAGTCATAGAACTCCAAGCACCTACATGTTATTGTGCATACCATTTCCATTTTCTTCAAAACATAGATTTGTATATCTTTTCTCTGTATGAACCGCAAATATTCATATTGACATGAAGTCTCCAAAAATTATAATAGAAAATTTGTCAGCCAAGCTTACACTTTCTTTTAGTTTGCACAATGAAACTCATTAAAAATTCATCGAAAAGGGAGCACCATCCAGAATCAAATAGTTTCAAGTGAAATGGATCTAGTCCCAACACAAAGGCTCACACTCAAACTCAGGAAATCTAAGAACAGTCTCAAGAATCTAACTTTGAGCAGCTCTCTCTATACCTTGAACCAGAACTAAAGCCCGGGGACAACAATACCAGAAAGGATAAAATGAATGTAATTAATAAGGATAATAAACCCCCAAAAGAATACCAAACAAGAAAGTCAAATCCAACATAAAAATAGAACCTTTATATCTAAAAAAACCATCAAAAAATTTCAGCAAAAACAATAATCCACCAAAACAACAGACACCCATCAAAAGAAAGTTGTAAAGGAAAGAAATGGTTACCAGAAGTTGCATGGGGGCTTTGGCTGGAATCGACTCTAGTAGAAGAAAATAAGCAGTTGCCCATCAGAGAGAGACTAATACTTCACGAAAATGAAACCCAAAGAAAAAAAAAATCCAATACCACTCTCTTTCTTCTTTCTTTTTCTTTTATATGAGTTATCAAATTTAACGAGCCATGATAATTTCTCAGATCCTAAAAGAAGAAAGGGAACTTAAAAACGGCTCTGGTTGGATTGGAATTTTGTTTCGCTTACGTGGAGCTTTGGTTGGTTTTGCCGGTTAAGCTGTTTGAAAAGTTTCAAGTTGGAAAGAGAACTAAATTCTTAGCTGAGAATAACCAGAAAATTCTTTTAAAAAAAAGAAGAAGAAGAAACAGAGAGAAGGAAAGCTCGGAGAATAAACTGGAGTTTGGGTCTCTTTTGGCTTTGAGGAGGATGTGGGAGAGAGACGAGACACGACAAACGCGTGATCGGGGACTTGGCCTCAGCCACGACGTGTGCACCCCACAAAGGCAAATCGACTCGGCTTGGCTTTGGCTTGGTGCTGATGGAGTAATGACTGAAGATTGCCACCTCTTTCTTTTATATCTTCTGTCAGAAATTCATCCCTTACGTAAAATGACTAAATTCTCCCTTCTTTCGATTTAAGTCCACCGGCCCTTTCCGTCTAAAAGTCAACCTCAACTGATGCGCGCTTTTTGTTTTTGTTTTCTTTAATTTACTTTCCTGAATTATCCCAATGGAAATTTGTCTTTCTTTTTTATTTTTTAATAAATAATTAATGTTATCTCTTCTGATGTAATAATTCCCTTTGACTTAGTTTGATGGGAAATTAAAATAAAATAAGTAGATATCATTATTTACTTTAGAAAGAGTTTAGAATTAAATTAATACAGATAAAAATATAGATATACTTGATTTTGAAGTAAGAAAGATTAAAAAAAAACAAATGTGATTTAATGGTAAAAACTTTTATTTTATTTTATTTTGATTTTCATAAGTCATATAAATTGAAATAATTTTAAATTTTAAATATAAAAATTTAATTTTTTTAAATATAATTATTTAAATAAATTTAGACATTATATTACACATCATGAAAATAGACTAATTATGCATGCATCTTTATCCTTATCAAATAACTTTATACCTAATAATATATTATATACGTGTATATCATTGAAACGAAATTTAATTTATATTTTTTATACTATTTAATGAAATTTATTTTTATTATTATTATTATTATTTTGTTAGAATGAAATTACCATTTGGTGGGATCCTTTTTTGGTAATTTTTGATGGATAAAGATGATATCATTTTCGTGTGAACATTTACTCATACTGAACTTTTTAATTCTGGACAGGCAGGTTGGCTTGAAAATTGAAACCGG